AATGCAACAAAACAACAAACGGGTCGGGTAAAAAAAAACTTCTTCCGCGAAAAAAACCAACAGTAATGTAAAATCCGATACTGCACTGCTATCAAGAATTTGAAGGAGTAAAAATTTGTAGACAAAAAATTTATTAAAGTAAAGAGAAAATAAAGAAAGTAACTAAGCTGATGTCCTGTCCGTTCGTTCACCCTACAAATACGCTACAGTAAATTAAAACTACATTAAAACATTATTTTAAAAAAATTTGCGCCCCCCCCCCCAGAAAGTTATTCTTTTTTTTTGTGTGCCCCCCCTAGAAAGTTTTCTGCGGGCGCCCATATATAGATATACTATTATATAGGCCTGCCACTCGATAATTTATCCTGGGTATGATGCAGGTTCGGATTATGATGCAGGTTCGGATTAAGGCCTTATTTTGGACCTGGGAACATCTAGCATTAGGGCGCTCACATATCTTTGTATGCATTGCTTGCCAATGAATATTGTGTTAAACTCCTTCTTACAGTTATTCTTACATATGCCATTGACATTGCACTGTTCCCACGATCCTCTGTTATAACATGAAAGGGCAGGGGGGGGGGAGAGACTGTGATTCGGTTTAAAGCAATGGGGCCGTCCATTAATTATGTCAACAAATTTTAAGCAATTCTTTACCGCCCCCCCTGTCAACAACTGTCAAATTTTCAGTGATCCCCCTTAAGTAATTATGTCAACATTGGTATACCCCCCCCCTCCACAATAAAAAATAAATGTATTTTAGTAACAAAAAATTGTAGGAAAAACATTTATTGCATCTTTAACTTGTTAGTCAAAAAGTTTTTACACTTAAATTGTATGGAAGCTTGACACCACATGGCATGAATGTCATGTTCTCATTCACCTGTTAAACCTTTTCTCCACTCCCTCCTCATTACGACCAATCACAGTGGACATAATTTTCCTCTCTTCTTTCCCTTTGCCTGTATTTAATATCTCGCCTACTTATTTTCTGTCATATTCCTCTTGCTGTCCTCTCGGATACTAAATTTCAAATGTTATTTTTATTGAATTCTGGTTTTACTGTTGTATGTTCCCTGATGAAGGCTTCTTGCAGACACGTTTGTTGTTTTGTTGCATTCTTTTTTTCAATTTTCCCCATACTTTGTTTCACTCATTTCCATTTTAAGAAAATATGGGCCAATTTTGAACAATATTTCATCAAACTGCTTATGTAGTTTAAACCAACATTTAGCACACAAGTAAAACTGTACTAATCATGGAATTAACACATAGCCAACTAACCATCATAATCATATACATTTATTGCACAAATAATACATTTTTATTCAGAGAGAATTGAAAGAGAATGATGTTAAATTCATGAAATAGAAAGCAGGCATGCATATTACTACAGCAGTTTTAGTAGAATCTCAACTATTAAAAAGACCTTTTCAAGGATGACTGCAAATATTCTTCTAAAGCTGTTTCGTTATTCAATTAATGGGCTTTATGGCTAGTAGTCATTTAAATCCCAAAAAATGGCTTTTATAATGTTGAATATGACCTAACAGTTGTAATTTGACAAATTTTAATAGATAACTTAAACTATATTTTAATGGATTATAAACTTAGTACTGACTGTTGTAAATGAAATTGAAAAAAAAATGAATGCCATAATTAAATTAGACAGCTTTAAGAAGGAATAAGATTACGCTGATGGATACAGACTGGTTTCTGTATTAAATGAAACAAGTTCTGGTATTTTGATAAATACACCTTCATGGAATGATTAACATAATGAAAAACTGAGAATTAAAATAGATGGAAAATGGGGATTCATTTCACATTAATAAATAATAAATAATTTAAATGTACCGTACAGGTTTTATGTAGTGGAAAAGTAGACATTTGTTGATGAAAACTATTTACTACCGGTATACTATAATTTATATGGTCAGTTAAATGTCTTTATAAATTTACAAATTACAATGATGGATTAAAGCTTGACCATTTTATTGATACAAGTGACAGATTAAGAAAAACTGCTAAAATGAGGCAGAGAATGTTCAGAGATGATCTAATTGGTAATTCTAATCAGATACTTAATTCTTTCATTTGGCAATTACAACGCTATACTCTTTTGTATAGGTAATGTGAAGTAAAATATTAATAACCGTTCATTGAGCCATCACACACAAAATTATATTAAACTTAAATTAAGTAAAATACCGGATATTCAAGATCAAGTCAAGTAAATGAAAGTTTAAAAACATTTAAAGTTATTCAAATAAAAAATTGAAAAATAAAATTAAGAATACATGGTTATCTCTATCAAACTGGATGTAAAATTGAACAAGACTTAATAGAAAACTTAAGACTTAAAACACAAAATACAATGAGGCAATGTAATCAATGTAGTAGCACTGGAAAGTCAGTGTAAATGATAACGTACACTAACAGCTATTGGGAATAAATAATGACTTTACAGAACATGTTATAGTTCTCGAGAGTGGGAATTACAATAACAAGATTGGAAAAAACATGTACATATTCTTTGAAATATCCTCATTTTAAAAAAGACTGTAGAAATGCAAAGACTATTATACTTGAAAGCAATTTATATTCATTTATTTATTTGTTTGTTTTGTTAAAGGTGACAGAATGATATTTTAACTATGTAAAAAAAAATAAGTGTAAAAAAAAATTTTTTTTTTTTATCTTTAAATGTTGTTGTTCTATATTTTGAGGCCCTACGATCAATAAAGAAAAAGTTAAGCTCAAAACTAAAGATTGTATTGTTATCTCTTTAATAAATCCAGTTTTTAAGAGGTCCATGTTACTACAATGTTGTTTGACTAACCAGTGCAAGTTTAATGAATGAATGTGGAATTTTTAAAAAATATCACAAGTTTCTAACATAAGATTCTTACTCAAGGCAGCAAAAAATTACATTGCATCAAAATGAAAGCGTTGTGCTTCCTGAAGCTTTTCTTTCTTGTCCTCAATCTGAAATATTTCAAGCACATTATCATTAAAACTAAATATTTTACTAAAGATGCAATAGGGGGAGGGTTTAAAATTGTAAAAAAAATCCTTTAGGCTGGATTTTTAAAATACCGGTACCCAATGTGATATTAGAGTTACAATAATAACACAATTTTTAATTTCAAATCAGCCTCTCTAAGAGGGCAACAAGAATCTATGACATACCCGTTCTCTCCATTGTAGCAGACCAACAATAGCAGCTATAAAGGCACAAGTTCCAAGCAAAGATGCTCCAGTTAAAAGAACAAGGCGGCTTGGTGTCACATACAGTTCATGCTTCCAGCTAGATAGTGATAGGAACTTTAGGAAATTTGGTTCTCTCTCAGTTATATTAACCCACGAATTGTCGGCAGAGTTCCTTTTCCTGTACTGTGTCGGCTGATAAAAACTGCGTTGAAAGCATATCTAACAGCCTAATATTTTACACTAAATAAAACTACTTCCTTTTAATAATAAATAAACTTCCGTTTTTCGCTCTTCTGTGTCCTTTTTTAAACTTTGGAGTTATTTTTATAACAATCTTTATCAAGCTAATTTGTGTAAGTAGATTTTCGCGAAATGAATGAGGCCATAGCTGGACCATCTGGCTTACAAAATAAATCAGTTAAGAATCTTTTTGATAACTTTTTAGTTAATGAAATAAGTGATTCAGAAGATGATTTTCCGATCACACATCTATTTAGTTAATGAATTAAGTGATTCAGAAGATGATTTTCCGATCACACATCTATTTAGTTAATGAAATAAGTGATTCAGAAGATGATTTTCCGATCACACATCTATTTAGTTAATGAATTAAGTGATTCAGAAGATGATTTTCCGATCACACATCTATTTAGTTAATGAAATAAGTGATTCAGAAGATGATTTTCCGATCACACATCTATTTAGTTAATGAAATAAGTGATTCGGAAGATGATTTTCCGATCACACATCTATTTAGTTAATGAAATAAGTGATTCAGAAGATGATTTTCCGATCACACATCTATTTAGTTAATGAAATAAGTGATTCAGAAGATGATTTTCCGATCACACATCTATTTAGTTAATGAAATAAGTGATTCAGAAGATGATTTTCCGATCACACATCTATTTAGTTAATGAATTAAGTGATTCGGAAGATGATTTTCCGATCACACATCTATTTAGTTAATGAATTAAGTGATTCGCTTCTACTAAAAGGCTAGTGTGTTCTATTTAGTTAATGAATTAAGTGATTCGGAAGATGATTTTCCGATCACACATCTATTTAGTTAATGAATTAAGTGATTCGGAAGATGATTTTCCGATCACACATCTATTTAGTTAATGAATTAAGTGATTCGGAAGATGATTTTCCGATCACACACGAAGACAATGATAATTCCGATTATTTTTCTAGTGGGTCAGAAAGCGAAAGTTTGGACGCTTTAAACCTAGGCCTCGAACGAGTAAGTGTTGCCGATGATTGTGTACCAACAAAACATAATTGGATGTTGTTCTGTATGTTTTCTTATATTTCATTTTATGGATTATATTGCAGCTTTTTAAATTTTATCTGTTTCTCGCTCTTTAGTAATGTTAATATTGTTTCTGTTGTGATTTGTTACTTGAATGTAATTGTAGGTACCATAAGAAATTTTTTTTAAAAATCTATTAATAACTAAAACATATACAAATAATAAATTTTCTGAAAGATAGATAAAAATGCTATAATATTATATAAACATTATGGTTAATATGCCTTTAAAAAATTGTAGTTTGATGTACTTGAAAAGAACATTTTTCATTATTTTCTTTATTTTTGGCCACTCCAAGGTCAAGGTAACGGTCAAAGAGTATAAAATAGAATTAACAAAATAGCCAATATGATTTCACAATCAGTCTAATTTCAATAAATATATACTTTATAGGGTCTATACATAGCATTTGCATGTGAAAAATCACCTATTTCAAAGACATCCAAAAAGCTCTAAATTGCCTCCACAGTACAGAATAGTTACCCGCACAGTTAGTGGGTTAAATAAATGATAAAAAGTTAAATATTTTCAATGTATTTTAGCAATTTTCTGGTATATTAAAAGTTTAAAAAACATTTTATAATCATGTTGTATGTTACCAAATATTTATTGGAAAGATTCAGACTATTTGTTAAGAAAACTTTCAAACATTTATATATACACATTGGGAAAAAATTATAACTGACCTGTCTGGACTATCCAGAGGGTAAGGAATTACTATGACTTGAGAATTGGGAATTATAGTTGCCCATGAGTGACTTCGTGGATTCTGAAAGTTGGGCAAAGAAATTAGATCTAAACATATATATCCCCCCCCCCCCCCCCNCCCCAATATAATTTAATTATTTATCCAACATTCGGATACCACCTGTCTTAATTTTCCTCAAGTTCTAACTCCAACACCAAAATAATAACAATTTAAAAGGAATGGCCCAAAATGGCACTGCCAAACTGAAACACTCACCTTGCCTGCAGGGTACTGAATGCCTATTTCCAGCTCATCAACAAAGTTGGGTGTCTGTCCCAGACCAAACAACATAAAGGGAAGTTGCAAAGAAGAGTATGCTGACTGGGAGAGCTGGGAAGCTAAGGAAACAATATTATACATTCTTATTTAAACCCACAGGATGTAATTTATAATTTATGCTCCTGTCAAAATCTAATACCGGGTATCACAAAAGTGGTGCCACACCTGCCTCATAACAAAGAAGTAACAGGTTGGAAATTGTCCAGGGGTAATCCCAAGCTGTATTCTCTGAACCGAAGTGCAGATAAATCCTGCTATTTTACAAAATTAAAATTATATGTGGAAAAAATATAAACAAAAGTTATTGTCCCAAAACTGGAAATTGCAACTTGCCTTTCTATATCAGAGGGTCAGGTAAAAAAAAAAGCTGGTGCATTGTGATCAAGGAAGACAAAATTATTTATTCCATGTCAAACATGGTAAAATGTCAACTTAAGCCACACCATAGAGGATTTGGCCAATCAAAGGATAACTTACAGACACAGATCTGATCATCTCCTGTTGGTGTGGTGCTGACAATTTTAGCAGTCGGTCCCACCTGATTAACACCATAAGGCTGAAACAGAACAATGCAGAACATGATTAGTAGTTAAGGTATCTATTGATGGTAACTGTTTGAAAAAGAATTTCAATTAACCTCAATGAAATTAAAAATAAATTGGATGAGTCACAATCAATATAATAAACAATTATATGATGATCATTAGCCAAAATAATGCTTTCTTTAAAGCTAAGAAGTCATTATAATGAGCCACAACTAAGACATAACAATTGTAAAATTACTTGCAATGCTTACTGAATGATTATTTGGGCAGTTATCAAGACACAAACCACTCACAACTGTTGAAAAAAAAATTCAATAAATGGTTAAAACAGCTCGAGGTCATTATAAACTAACACTGGAGTAATTTCTTCATTTTCAAAATATCTTGGTCATTATAAACTAACACGAGTGATTTCTTCATTTTCAAAATATCTGACAGTGTATAAGCACTAACCCAACACTTTAAGGAAACTGGCATCTCCTGTGAAATCTTGCTCAATTGCTCTTATAACTGTGGTTCCATCCTCTTTGACTTCAGTTAGCAAGACATCTAAAACTCCCTGGAAACAAAAAAAATTATTAAGGAAAATAAAATATTTTACAGTTATTGATATAAGTGTAGCATAACAATTTCCTGATCTTCAGCATTTTTGGGTAGACCAGCAGTACATTTTCTGTCAGCATTACAAAGCTGTTAACAATAATTGTACAATATCCCATATATTAAAGAAAATTATTGAAATATTTTTTTAAAAGGCAAAGCACAATTAATTTTTAGTTTCTCAATATATAGAATTTCATATGCATTATTATTATATATTTAAAATAATAAAGTATTTTTTTATCAGTACCAGGTATTATGAATAATGCAACTCATATGAACTGCTCAAAATAATAAAAATTCTTACATTTTCCATTAAATCATAAAATGCAACCAAAACTGGTGTGTTCTTCTCCAGCTTCTGTTTATAATCAATTGACAATGTTCTGGAAAAATCCTGGCAATTAATCTTGCAAGGCTCATTATAAAGAATAAATGCAGACCTATTCTTAGGGCTGGAAAAAAAAAGTAGAAATCATGATTTCTACAAAAAGTGATCAACAGAAAATCAAGTTATTGTTTTTTAAATTCAATGAATAAGATACTATTATTAGTTTGCTTAGAGATATTTATTACACTGAAAAAAATTAAAAGAAATCTTTTAAGTAGGTATAGCAACAAAAACAAAAAACAAGAAATAAAAATGATAGGGTTCTCAGTTTATATTTTAGCCTCACATTTCGGTTAACCATGATAAACAATTTATACCAAAAAAAAATCTACCTTTTTGAATCTGATAAAACTGCAACAGCATCAGGAAACCCATCAAGGTTAAAATCACCAAATCGAAGTGTTATTGGCAGATTTAACCAATCAAATGGACTAGCAGAAATGGGAAAGGAAGTCTTCCTATCATCTGTCTTAAAATTTACATCCAACTGGGACCAGCTGCCCTGAGTGGGGTTCTTCGACGACTAAGAAAGAAAAAAACTACCAATTGTAGCACAATGTCTATTGTTGAATAAAGAAGATCGGCTGTTAATAATAGTTTTAAATTATTATGGTAAACAAGAGAATAATAGTGTTACTAAATAAACAACAAGAGAATAATAATAATATACTGTAGTGTAACTAAATGACCCATAATATTGACAGTCCTCATGTCGTCTTAATTACAAATATGAGATAGCCATGATTATTTTAGATTTATTCTGCATTTTTCTATATTTAAAACTATTGCAGTGCACAAAGCAGTAAAATTACCCCACAAATTAATTCATTTTTTAACATTTTAAAAAGTTCTTGCCTTATTATGAGACCACACAAATATGGCAGCTTCCTTGCAGGCATCATCCAAGCAGCCAGGAAGAACAATATTTGTTTCATGATTTCCATCTGAGAATACAAACACTAGGAGACTATTTTAAGAAGAAGATCAATATCGATAACTTAGTGAAGTAATATTTTATAGACTTCTTTACTCACTTTTGAAAAAGGTTCCATTTTATAATCTTTTCATAAAAAACATCCTTTTCAGTTTCATACTTCTATGTAAAAAATAATATGTCCATTTGAAATAAAATATTTTTAATAAATCCATTCACTCACTCAAATCTACAAATGATGCTTGGCCAATAACTTTTAATACTTCAGGTGCAGTAATATTATCTGTCAGGGTCAAAATGCCATTCTGCCAGGGAAAAAAAATTATTTTATTTTTAAATGAATATGACCTAATTGGATGACTTGATACTTTAGTACTTCAACTGAGTCCAGAACCACTAACAATAATTATAGCCCCATTTTATTTATATCTTCCAGTTTTTGGTGCTTTAATTCTATCTTGCAGTGTGCAATTTTGGTAATATTGGCAACCCAAACTCTATCAAATTCTAAAATCATCTAAATAAGGTTAACCCAAAATGTTTTATTTCACTCCTTCTCAAATTACAAAAACTTTATTTTAATATTTTTTTATTCAAATGCAATGCATTGTAGTTAACTTCAATTCAGGTTGGGGCCGGGGGTAGTTTGTTTGAAGTAGGTTGATCGGTAGCCATCACGTGAAAAGAGTTCCTCTTTATAAATAAAATGGTTATCAGGTAAAATGCAATAAAATTTGTGGTCCCAAGAAATAAAATATAATAATATTGTCTCTATTGTATTTGAAAATTCTTATGCCTTAAAGTAAAGGAGTAATAAGATTTCCTAAAAAGTAATTTACTTCATCAAATAGCTGAATTTGATTTTTTTTTTAGTTGGCTTGAGTTAAATAAACAACCACCCTTTCAAAAAATGTTAACGTGTACAATGTTTCCCAATTAAGCGCAATCAAATTTTTATGTAAATAAGAAACTCATTCTAAAGTTCCTTTTAGAAAAAAAAATGTGCTTACTTTATTTAACCAAAATTCATATGAAACAACTTGATTGACCTCTGTTACCGCACACAGGTCTGAAGATTAAAAAATGCGATTATCAAATGTTATGATATATATTTTACAGCAAAATATATTAATTGCTTCTAAAACTCTGTTGTTTCCCTCTGTACTAACCTGCAAAAAGGTCCCCATCTAAATCAAGAAAGGCACTTGATTGAGGCATTTTCAAAGGAGGTAGTAAGGCAGTCCCATTACCGCTTGGATAATAGTAAACACTGTATGTTCCATTGATGCTGGAAAATCAAACAGACTTTTACTTTTGTGTAAAGATAACTTGCATTAAAAGTAGAAGAAGCGTGAAATCATATTTCAAAATAATGATACAAATATTATATTAAACATAATTTATTTTCACTAATGTTTTGCAATGTATAAAATACCATTTAACATTTCTCTGCAAAAGTTCTAAATAACAAATTAAATAGCTTTCTTTAAAAAATCAAAATTTTTTACGGGAAAGTCCAGAGAGCACGCTTGCCGTCACTGGTCTCACCAAAGAGGTCTGGCATCATGTCTCCATCAGCACTGAAATAAATATTTGATCATAATAAAACATAATGGAGTTTTTAGAAGGTGTTTGTGGGGGCAAATAACTATCACGCTGCCCCTCCCACAGAAACCTTTGTAAAATAATTAGAATGAAGGCCTTATACTGTTTTAAATTCAACATATAACTCTTGCATTACTTATTTTTATTGATTAAGTTGTGACAGATGAATTCACAGATTTGTATAAATTAGGTACACTTTTATTTTAAGAAATATTTTGTTTATAAGAATCTGTTAAAAAAAAAATACTCACTCTATCACAGCTGGCTGGTCTCTTAATGTCTCGTTTAATTTCAAATAAGGTGTTCCTAAAACGAAATAACATTTTTTTCTTAATTTTTTACCCAACACAATTGTAAATTTATAGTAAACAAAAAAATAATTCAATATCTAAAGGTAATGTTCATTTAAATGCAACATAGAAATTTCAAACATGTAAGTTCAAGATAAAACTACAAATAATTATAATTAAGCAAAAGCATAATTGATTTTTTGGAATGTACAAAAATAAAGGAATTGCTTAAAGTTAAAGTTTTACATTCTTAGTGGATAAAAAAAGAAATACTTTTTAACTTCTTTGAAAATTGGACATTGTCAAATGAATCGAATAAGGGACTATTTCATAAATATTTATCACAAACCAGTTTTATTTTTAGCTTTCCCATCATAGATCTCAATGTTAACAGTGGTTTCTCCAGTTCCTGATCTTCTCATGACTAGAACATCCATCTGGGAGTCTCCATTGAAATCAGCAGGGACGATATTGATGATCTTTGTGTCTGTTACTTTACCATCTATGAAAGACTTTTTATTTAATTTGGTTCCATCCCTCCTTATGTCAATATCAGCCTCTAGAATGTACACAGATATTCCTGTAATAAAGATGCAAAGAGAAAGATGTACAACTAATCACTCGTCACACTACAGAGATACAAGCAATATATTCAGATACATTATAAAGAGTATCAAGTTGGCGAGATGTTCTCTGAATTCAATGTAGGCTTTATTTAAGAAATTCGGCATACATTTGTATTAAATTTAAAATCTATTTTATCCATATCAACATCATCATCATCCATATCCAGTGGCCATTTGGGCAAGTGGCCTTTGGACTAAAGCCATGGTGAAGAATTTAACACTCTCTGCAGTTGTTATTTGTTGGTATATAGGATTTTGATGTAGTCTGGTGTTTTTGGTAGATGGTTTAGGCATAAGTCTTGAAGTGCTGGGCAGTGGAAGAGGTGATGTGTTACTGTCTTATTTTGATGTTTGCAGAGAGGGCACATTTAAGTTTTATCTGCTTTTATGCAGTTACAGTGGGAATAAAATTTTATCCATATAGAAATATATTTAAAAAAAACAACATTTGTTTACTTGTATTTTTTTTTAATGGTAAAATAGAAATTTAATAAAAATATGAATTCGTCTCAAACCGTAGGTAAGAAAATTATTCATTTTACTATCCTATAGTTTTAGTAGTCCTAGAGAAGAGATATTTTTTTAACAATTTGAACTTCATATTTTTTTTCTAGTTTGTATTGTTACAAATACAAGAAGTTAATACAGGAAACCTGCTTTAAGTTCGCAAATGAAATTAAAAAAAATATTAACAATATATATTCTCCTACCACACAATCACAAGCTTCTAAAACTAGTCCAACTTCTACACTACATTCAGTACATTGGTTCTGGTAGTGTTCGTTGCTGCATCCTATACTGGGATTTGTACAACGGTTGGGGGAATGGTGTTGCTAGTCTAACAGCTCCTACATTCTACAAAGTTAGTAACTACATGAGTCATGAGATTAAAAAAACATTTTTTGAAAATAAAATTTAAATCCCCAATTTTCCTAGTTACAAAGCCAAAGCCTCCGAAAAAAAATAGTCATTAAAAAATCCCAATGGGTACATTTACCATCGTCGGATATTACAAATATATCCGTTGCCTTGTCAGCGTCAAGATCTCCAAACGCTGCTATAAATCCAGTAGGTTGTTGATCAAATACCTCGGACGTAACATCGGAGAGTGAACTATCAACAAAAACTACCATGTAACAGATATACAGAAGCAGTTGAAACAGAGATTTACATGTGCGAGTTAATTTAATCATGTTGTCTATTTGGATTGGCCTTGGATTGTAATCTATCTTTTTTTTTTAAGTATGATTTTACATAATTAGTCAATTAGTCCTCTTGAAATTTTCAACTATGGTACAATGGTAGATAGTGGTTGAATGTTAGTTTTGTTGTGTTTGTGATTTTGACTCATCCGGATGTATAAATGTATCGATTCTGGTTAGTATCGCGAGAAAATGTCTTTAATTTTTGTAACTAGAAATACGTCAATAGTTCTCAATTGGTTGCCGATTATTTCCCCCCCCCCTCCCCCCATGGTTTTAAAAGTATGAACCATGCTATACTATTAATAAAAAGAAAACTATAGATATTCAGAGAATAACAGCCATAATATTAATTAATCTTTAATTAACCGCACCCGGTGAACCACCCCAATGACGCATCTAGTTGCCCCCCCCCCCAAACTTGTGCATACTCATACGTCGTACATACAATAAGCTTCTCACCCGACTCACCCCTTCAACCTGTTTCAATTTACATTAGCCTGTTGTGATATACAAAACAATTTAAATTTAACCAAGTCAGTGAAAACCATGTTAAAAAATTAAGCCACATGATTTCTCCCATATTTGCTGCCGCTGGGTTGGTATTAGTATCTACAACAACTTTTATCTCTATGTCTCTATTTATAAGTATTCATTTACAATTTTGGTTTAGCCGAAATAAATAATTATTTTACAAATTAGGCCTACATTACAGGCACGGAACCATGGACTGAACTTTCAATAGGTTAAATAGATAATTACTTATCAATTTTACAGCTTTTCATTGACTTCCAAATTTTAGGAAAATTATTGTAAATTTCAATGTATGTACACATTTTGGTAAGACCACTCCCCTTCCCATACACACAATCTTCTAAATTAACCACCCCTCTCCTCTCTGTGTGTAAATAATATAGGGAAATAATATTTTTTAAGTTGGAGTAATGTTTTCTTATTGCTGAAAATAATGTGTTATAGTGGTGTACATTTTATTTGACATGAGGGTTTAAATAGGCAGGTGTATGTTGAATTTTTAAAATATAAATTTAGAAGTGTAACATAATGATTTCTCAGATGGATTAAAAATGCATAAAGGATGGAAAACATATAAGCCTATCATCACTTAAGAATTTTAATTTTTTAAAATTTCAATTATATAAAACTATTTGAAATTCTGAAATCAAGGGAATGATTTTTTCATAGCTGATTAATTTTATTACTTCCATTTCAAATTACAACCTGTTTATAGATTCTTTTTAAAAATATTGCCATGACCAAGAATGTCTGGATTGATCAATTGATAAAAATATATGTTCATTTTAATTTATATCTTACAAATAAAAATTTCAAAGATGAGTAGCACCAACCATAATCATCACAAATTGACCATTAAAAAAACAAATAATAATAAAATTAAATGAAAAATAAAAGTACTCATTACCAGTACTTTTTGGAAAGAGCATTTTTATTAAGTAATTTTTCACATTTAAAAAAATAATTTGATTAGTTTTCTATCATGTGTTAGGTTAATCATTGTGTAAAAAGAAATGAGGTGAACATTTTAATAAGTTCATACACTTTTGAATACATGCCATCCAGCAGGACCAGAAATTGTACAAAAAGTCCCAAAATAAAATCAAATGCAGTTTATGTAATACCCAGCATTTAAGTGATCTTTCAGTAACTAGCAATAAATTCATGCACAGCTGTATAAAATTACCTTTTTTTTTTTTAATTGTTGCCATAAGTTGATAAGAAAGGAATGTTTCAAGTAAATTGTCAACCATTATGGTAAAATCACATCAATCAACAAGTGTCTTTCAGATATAACATTGTGTAAATATTGGACAAAAATAATTCTTATATTTTCATCAAAATCATTTGTACACCAATATGAATATTAAGTTTTACAATAATAATTAAAAATTGGGTTACTTCTGATGCTTTAAGTAGTTTATTATAATATAGGAATCAATCCCATTTTTTTAATGGTACAAATAACATCCTATATGACAGGGGTAGGCAAACTATGGCTTGTGGGCCGCATGCGGCCTGACAACTGATATTAGGCGGCCCAAGAAATGTAAAATTACCGATTTTAATATAGAGAAATTTTTAACAACATATAAAAACTTGACATAATATACATGCGCACACCCCCCTCCCCCATATTAGCTTTACATTTGTCAATGTGACCCTCCACACAAAAATTTGGCCACCCCTGCTTTATGACATAGATATCTTATTTCACTGAAATTTCAATTTTTTTTAAAATATTCATATTTTCAATGACAAAATTCAGAGGATAAAAATCCAGTATTATTTCATAAAATGGAGGAAAGAAAAGCAACAAGTGTTTTTAACAAAATAAGGCAAATAACCTTGAACTAGTCAATATTATAACAGATTTGGCTACCTCAGCCTTGACAATGAGTATTAATAATCCAACAATTAGAAAGCTAACACAAAAATTAAACTTTAAAAAGACAAGTCACTTACTTTTCCTACATATTTTGAAATCATCCTAAAGATAATGCAACTTGCTTCCAATAAAGTAAATTTAAATTTTTTTTGACCAAAACATTTCATGTGAAATAATTTTATTTCAATACTCAATTTACGAATCTTTAACCAATTCGCTACTATAATCCGCACACCCCAGGTACAGAATACTGCAGCACGTATTGTATTGCGGATAAAGAAATCTGACCACATCACCCCAGTTCTTAGAGATCTCCATTGGCTTCCTGTGAGCGCATTGACTACAAAATTCTGTCCCTGGCGTACAGCTGTAAAGAAGGCTCTCCACCGGAATATCTTAAAGAACTGATTTATAAACACGTATCCTTAAAGAACCTGCGGTCTTCAACACTGTCCTTACTGAGAGTTCCCAGTGTGGGTGTACACAGAAAAAAGTCATACAGAGTGCGCTCTTTTTGAAGCGATAGCGCCAAAATTATGGAACAGTTTGCCCCAATCTTTGAGGGACATTGAAAATGATAAAAATCATTTAAGAAACATTTAAAGACGTTTTATTTAAGTAGCATGGATACAAGTGCTATATAAATATTCAATTCAATTCATGGAGTACTAAGCAAACAGAGATAACTCTAAGATGAAAGCACCCCAATGTTATAAAAATAATTGTTTAAACCACTAAACATCATGCAATTTTAACAAAACAAGAACTAAAAAATTGAAAAATGAATGTTTATAAAAATTTATAGTTTTAAATACTTTTATTTACTCTTCTTTGGCTGTAAAGCAATATATCCAGTTTTAAAAATGTCAGTAGCGTTATAGGAGGTGTGCGGTGATTTTAGGTCCTCTTGAAGGTAACCCTTGTAACTTGAGTACAGCCAGTTGTTTCCCTGGTTCTACTACTGTCCATCTCGTTATCATCAGCTGAACACTGGTAACATCAACCTTTTCTTCCAAGTATGGGTCTCAACATTTGGGGATAGCTATATGGCATATCTGTTTGTTTCCATCACCACCACGGCATAAAGCTGTACCATTCCTATAAACAGTCTAAAATAATCTGCTGTACTGCTATCAATGCTACCTTTTATCTCCCAAAATCTTTCAATCTGATCAGTAACACTGGTGAAATTGTCTGACCAACACTCAGTGACAGTGAATCACATTGTCTTCAGATCCCTGCAGCATCAGTCTTTGAAACCATTTATTATTTTCAGTTTTTTTATTTAATCTACGTCAATATCTGACTTATCTTCATTGTTGAATGAATATATGTATTAAATTAGACACTAAACCAGCAATCAACCTAAAATACCATAGCAATAAATTCTCGTACAACAGAATCACAAATTCACTATACATTAGTCCAACATTACAACCCCTAGCTCACAAAGCGAAAGAAATAAAAAAATCTGATTTTTTAAAACAAAACCCACCAAACTTCCTACTTTTCAATTAACTCATGCTATTTGCATGGAAACAACGCTTATCACAAGACCGACTGGTATGTGTACCTGGCTAGGCGATATGACGCATTGGGTCGCATTAGTAGCGAGGGGGATATTTCATATTTGATCACAATATTAGTGAATGGATTAAATGCTAACAAGCTAGATATTCCACAATTTCTCTTCAAATTTTTAATTTTCCTAGCAGAGCCTTTGTTTTGCAGGTATTAAAATTCTTGGAAAGTGGTGTCGAATGGTAGATGTTATTAGTCTTAACATCTATAACTGTTACTGAATCTGGAAATATCTGAAAACCTAAAAAGCGACAAAGAGAATTCATTTAAAAACTTTCGTAAATTCTAAAAAAAATCTCTATTGAAAAGTAATTATTTTTAAAAAATCATTTTTAAATTATTTTTTATTTCTTCATTTGCTTTAAACAAATAGGAAATAACTACTAACCTTGATTTCACGATCCTCAGAACCTGATAGAAGGTAGTCTCCATGAAGTGTTAGAGCGTTGACACTGCCTTGATGCCGAGATAATGTTTGTATGGGTAACAGTTTTTCGAGACTCCACATCTACATAAAATAATAAATACTAATTTTTTTAAATTTCATAAGTCATGAAGAACTAAATATGCTTCTGTGGATGAGTTTAAATAAGCCATATACCGGTAACTTAAATTTCCATATTAGATTAGACACAAAATATTTTTTATATAACAAACCTGTATGTTACAGTCATGTGAAGCTGAAAAAAGGAAACGACCCGAGGGGGAGATAACTAGCGTTGTCACCGTTCCCAAATGTCCACAGAGGTTCATAACAAATTCATGATTGTCCACATTAAATATCTGAATGTTCTGGTTGTAAGTACCTGTCAAAACATAGTAATATAAACATGAGGATAGTTGAACAGTTTTTAAAATGCTGACCTAAATAATTTTGTCCAAAGGACTTCTGACAAAAACTTTGTTAAAAGAAAATTTTTAATAATTTCTATACAAATAATACAATCCCGTCAAGAGAATTTCGAGTGATACAAATCTTTGTAGCTAGCAGGCTCCCTGGAGTATTTCTGTTTTAATAAATTTCTTAAACTGAACATTAGACTTACCTTACCGGTATTAATTTGTAAGAGGAAATTATATAGCCATTAAAATGTCTTCTAAAGTAATAGAATCAATGTCTTTACAAGCAAAATTGGAAAGATATTCTTAAAAAAGACTACAACACCTTGGAATAATTTTTTACCTGAATTACCTGCTATAATGTAGGTTTTATTGACTGCCAATGAGTACACTGATCCACACTCATGCTCTATAGTTGCAAGTTTCTGAAAGTCTTCGCTTGTCTCCCACACATTGATGGCATTGTGAGAGCCACTGTAAATTTTATCCTTTGAATAGGTGTGGTTTTTAAAAATAATAAAAGAAACTTAAAAAATTAATAAGATCAAATAAAGCAATTAAAGATATGTTGTGTCATAGATAAAAAAATACTTTGCCTTTAAAACAATAAGAGAATCAAAATATATGAGAAAACAGCTGATGTCACTTGGAGCTTTTCCTAACTAGTAATATTTTTACATATGTTTATATATATATATAAGTATAAGTTAACTATAAAAGTAAGCTCTGATTTTGTGGGTAGTCCATAGGAAAGCCATAGAGCATTTTTTTTTTACAATCAGAAGAAATAAAATTTTACTTTCATTATGATAATAATTGTTACCATTTAACTAAAAAAAATAAATTTTTAACTACTTTGCAAGCCAGTTGACAGCTGAACCCTTCTCAGAAAAGAGCCTTAAATATAATGTGAAAATTTAATTTAATTAATTAATAAATTGAAAACTAGCTATTCAAAGTATGGCTAGGTCAAAACTGAATTTACTGGTAATTAATTTAAAAAAAAAAATTGATGCCATTTCAAACATCACACTTATTGAAAGCACTTTTAAAAAAAAATTATTGTGTAACTAAACAAAAAAATTTTTTTTTTAAAGTATAATTTGTTCAGTTATGGTCATATTACAAAACTTACTTTATTATGGCCTAGGGCTAGAGCTCGAACCCAATGTTTGATGCCTGTCAAAGTGGCCTTCAATGACAAGGATTTTATCTCCCATACCTGGCATAGTATGGGAAATGTTATATAAATAAAATAGAACAAGTAAGGCTTATCAAAATCTTTATATATAAAACATACTGTAAATATTAAAATTTACGTTTTACTAAATATGTTCTAACATTTTTTTTTTTGCTTCACCAATCTCCTCCATGATGTCTCTACAGTTTTAAACATGTGATTGTCTTATCTTGATCTTATGCTCATCTGATTTTTTAAACTACGATTCATTAGAATTCACTCAGAGGAGATTTAAAGCCTTACCTTAATAAGAGAAAATGATGACGTAAACAACCAGTTATCATGAATAACCATTGCACATACTATGTCATCATGGGCAGACTGTGAAGATAAAGACAGATGAAAACATTGAACACATTATACAGGAATTTTATTAAAATAATTGGACAACCAATAAGCAGGGAAAGCCTTTCTATTTAAGATACAGAAATATAGGATCGTCTTTATTTCCAGTCCTTTACCTCTGTACTAATGTCTGTATAGCCTAACCCTCAATTACCGCTACCACTAACTAATGTCAGCTCTAGCTAATCACTCAGTTTCCTACATAACTAGTGTCTGTATAGCCTTCAACTCCAAAATCTAATCTAGCCAACAACATCATTATTTCTATAACTTATGTATACTCTGGCCAAGCACTCAATTACCCGGTACCTCTATAATTGATATCTGTTCACAAGTGTCCACATTCCAAAAGCGAATAGATTTGTCTGCACCAGAAGACAGAACAGAATTAGCCCATGTGGCAAGGCAGCAAATCTGTAGGAATTTGTAGGAGAGAAATGTAAATTAATAAGTTGGGTTTTTTTTAAGAAAGCTTGAGATGGAAGTTAGAGCTACTCAAGAGCTAAGTGAGTACTGGTTTTAACAGAGATATTCTAATCTAATATGATGCTTTTGATAGATGAGTGGCATTGTGTGTTTTAGAATTAACAGCATAAATATTTTTTTTTTAATTTTAAATATGTCATGTGACAAGATTGATTGAAATACTTTTATATCACTGCCAATCCTTAATTTTATCCGAAGTGTAAATTTAAATTATATTTTAAATCTGTTATAACCTCAACTCTTTCACAAAAAAAGATTATACCGTATAAATAATAAATTATTATAAATTTCTATAAATTATGTAAGTCATATTTAACGGGTGTTTTTAATTACGGAATCTTAGTTTTAAGAGGTGCCATGCACTCAAACTTTTCTTAAGTTGTACTTTTGTAAATCATAATTCAACACAGAGATGAAAAATCCAGACCCTGTAGTGATGTTCTTTTTTTTATTATTAAAGTTTTACTTCTGTGAATTTTATCCACCACTGGCCAAAAAGCTTAGCTGATTGACGTTATATAATGACTCACACTTCAAATTATCAAAGCATGTAACAATTAGGTACATTAGATTAGACCGGTGGTTGGCAAACTCATCAGTCAAAAGAACCAAAAATCAACAGCAGGACAATTAAAAAATTTTTGAGCGCCAAATTTCTTTTCAAGAACCATGTTTTTCGGAGTCAAAAGCGACTTGTGGCCGACTGGCCAAGCCAAAGTCAGGTTGCTAAAGAGCTGCAATTTGCAGACCACTGGATTAGACAAACATTTTTCTTTAAATATGGTGAATGGGTTGTTATGGTCCAACATTAATAAGTGGTTAAAAGATAAAAGAAAACAAATTTAAGCAGCACTCCAGCATCTGAAATGAGTAATGAATTCAGAACTGACTACACAAACGTATCATTTATCTTACCATTCCAGTGTGCGCATTTATATTATTCATGCATCCTATGGCCAGCTTCTCTAGATTCCAAATTTTAATAATGCCGTCTGCACCACCACTGAAGAGTCTTCCTTTCTTTGTCGTCAAAGCCCAAACAACATCCTTATGGCCCCTTTTTAAAAATTCATATTCATTAAAAAAAATTAATCAAAATGATATAAATATAAAAAAGGGAGATAATTTAAAATAATTTAAAAAATTATTATTACAAAAATTAAAATAACTTAACAACTGTGAAGTAAATGGATAAGAGAAAAAATTAATCTTTTTATTCTAAATCAGTCATTACAATTGCTGGTTGATAGTAGCTTGTTTAACTTTGAGAGTATTAAACTCACATACCTCAATGTACCTATACATTTGAATTGAAAAGGCATTTCCCATTTTTCATATGTTTTGCCTGGACTTGAACCACGTGTTGACATAAGTGAGTTAAAGCTGTTGATACTTGGGCTACCTGTTTATATTTAACAAGCACACAGAATGGTTAAGAAATATATGGAGTCTGTTTAGAATTGTTTAAAATATTAAATAATTCCAATGATAAAATAGCTCCTTTTTTATTTAAGATGTGACGAGTTTACATTAATGATTAGATATAGAAAAACGCTTCATCTTTGTGGTGGACAAAAATATCTGACACAACGATAAAGCCAAGTCAATATTAAAACTTAATTGTTTATTTAAATGAAGTAGCTCTTTTAATTTCTCCCTCCTCCTTCCTCGAGCGAGCCCAGCTGAAACATAACGGTACATTTTCAGCTATCTTTTACACATTTTAATCCCACACCAAATTTGCTGCTCCTATTGGAATTAAGGTTTTTGTTACATAGGGTTTACTTCCTCCCCATGAGTTTCCATCTTAAATTACGATTGTTCCATAGGGCTGGCATATTAAGAAGGCTATTACTGGTCTGATATAAAATAGCTTTTCAATTTTTCCACTATCAGTATATAACTTTTCTTGCCTCCATCAACCAAAGACATTTGTGATGTTGACCTTGGTCTTCTTGAAAATGGCCCATTCATCTGGTCTATTCTTGAGGTCAGAGCTTCCAATCTCTGGTTAAGATTTTGTGTAAAACTTTAGGGAAAAAAAGATTATATTTGAAATGCCATAAGCAAAGGAAGAATCATGCAGTGACCTTAAAAAATTAGTAAAAGAATTGATTCGAACTGTATTGTTGTAAGGAAGCATAAGTCGTACGTTTTTTTTTTTACCCGTTTCTGTATTGAAACAAAGTTTTAAAAATATATTAAAAATTTAAAAGATTAAAATATAGGGAACGTATTGATTTTTCAAAAGTAAGATTTATTTAAATTTTAAAAATATTGAAAATTAATTATTAATAGTTCTTTACTTCTTATTTTGTTCTAGCTGTGTGGCCATCTGCGCATTATCAGCTTTTAATTCTGTCACCTCATGAACCAGCTTGAGATTCTCTGCTTGTAAAGTTTGCACAATCAACTCCAACTCATGGACTTTTTGTGATAGTGGGCCATTGGGTTTGCTACCATCTTTAAAGGCACACTGTTTGATGTGGTCATTTATTTTTTCTTGATTGCTTATGAAGCTGCAGCCTATGTTATTTTGTTTTGAAAGTGTCTTAATTAATGCATTTAGTTTTCATTTACAGAACATAAGGACAAATCTCTCATAGCAACACACAAAAAACATACTAAATTTTATTCACTTGCCAAAATATTGGAGATGTATAAGCTAATTAATGTAAATAAGTTTTTTTCCCCCATTTTTATTGTTGTTACCGGTATTTGTTATAATTAAAGCCTACTATTTAAAAAAGAAACTATTTAAAGGACTCTTAAAAACTACAATAATTCATTTTAAAAAATTAATTATATAAATTAAGTGAAAACTATAATTTTTTTAAAAGATGAAAGAAATAAAACGAAGTATAAAATTAATACTTAAAAAGAAAATGTAATAAAACTTTGGTTTATATGTAACAGTAAACAGTCCAAAAATTATATGTAGTAGCAGGTAAATTTACCTTGTTTACGAAATGGGCAGGAAATGTTAACACATTCGAATTGATGCCGCTCTAAATCACTCTTTCGCATATGTTTACAGCTATTTGAATTAGGGCAAGGGACTAGAGCAAATAAACATGTACTTTCATGTTCATTTCGCTTGCCAAAATTTATGATCTGTGAACACAATCCAGGGGCTTGTTCCCAATCTCCATTTTCACCTTTTTCCAAACCATGTCGACAGTAGATCTGTAGGTCTTCTATTTGACCAACAACCAATCTGTATAAAGAATTTTTAATATGAAACATAAATATATCAAGTTTTTTGTTAAAATTTTTTTTGTTAAACATATCTTTTTTTAACATCTCATTTCAAGGTTTTCATCTTAAACAGCAAAAAAATAATTGTTCTTTTTAGCTCTTAAAGATAATTGCTCTTACCAAAGTATCATTTTTACCTGTTGACAACAAGTTGGCTAGTATCACAGTGTGAATTATCTGTAGGACAGTAGGTGGTGGTGTATGCACAACTCCTACAAAATGTATGACCGCATTTAATGTTAATCACTGGATCCCGATACAGTCCACCACATAATGGACATTTGAGATGAGAAGAGGGCGTGCTAACAAATTTTGTTGGAAGTTTTTCTACTGATTCTGTGTTTTCTGTGGTCATTGTGGAGTATAAATACTTGTTTCTGGAGTTTTCTGTGTAAGATGTTAGAAGATGTTATGAGGCTACAATAATTTTAAAATCATCAAATTTAATACAATAATATAAACCTATACTAATTTAGGAGGTGCTATAAAAACTACTTAGCTGTTAATGGCATATCAGAAGCAGATGACAGGTTAAGAATTGGAAAGGTAAGGTCAGTAATTGTGCTGCTTTAAAAATATGAGAATCAAGGGAGCTGACTCTCCAAACTAAAGTTAGAATATTCAACACACATTTCAAATCAATCTTACTTTATGGAGCTGAAACTTGAACAACAAGCATCACAAAGAAAATACAGACCTTCACAAATACTTGCCTTAGAAAGACCCTGAACATAAAATGGTCAAACATCATCATCAACAAAGACTTACTGGAGAGGTTATACCAAGAGCCTATTGCTGAAGATATCACAAGAAAAGAGGAGGGGGATAGGGCACACTCTTTGATGTAAACCCCCCCAGAAAAACAATCATCAGACAATCCTTAACATGGAACCCACAGGGAAAAAAGAAGAGAGAAAGGCCAAAGAACACATGGAGATGTGAGCTAGAGGCAGACATACAAAGTATGGGATACACCTTGAAGCAACAGGAAAGGAAACCACATGACCAAGATTCAAGATGAATAGAAAAATGAATGAAAGGCATAAGTAACCAGTGAAATATCCTCTTCAACACCAGGCACAGAAACATTGCAAATCCCCTCTACAGGCATAGGAGCCAGAATGATCAATAAATTGATCATGGGCCCTTAATATATAGAAGAAGAAATAATAAAAATCAGTATTAATTATTAATAGGCTTATTTAAATCCTGATTTCTGTGCCTAGAATTTAGAAACGTGAGTAAATGTCAGATGACCCATGGGGCCATGCCAATGTGAATCTGATGCTAGGTGGACCCTCGTCCATAGATCTGGGAAAATTTGAACAACGGCTGCTTCCTCTATTCTATACATAGTATAGTATCATTATGTGGGAAGCCCCCGCCCAATCATAGCTAAACCTGTGGTCGCCCCCCCCCCCCAACTTGGTTGGAGTTGGGGGGGGGGGAGGAGTTTGCTCCAATTTTGACAAATTTTGTCTCTCACACTTGTGACTTAACTTTATCCATGCAAAGGTGGAAAACAGGGTCCAATAAGGTGCTCTTACTAGTCCTAGAGTCTTAGTGACAGTGAGCCCTCTGACTCTGACGAAATGATGTAAATTCTTTCATTTTCATATAGCAGATCACTGATTAGTGGTATTAAATTTTACTTAGTAGTACTACTACTAGTACTAGTGACTAGTGGTAGTAGTAATAATTTTTGAGAGAGTGAGAGTGATCTGAGTGATGACAATAATGACATGTGATTATTCTTGACTCCGAGTGGTTACCTAAAATTTAACGGAATCAGCAGTCTGGTTATATTATTAAGAGTGTACATTAGCTTGTAATAATGAAATAATGTCAAATATTTTCATTTATGAATATGGTAATAATGCAGCACAAGTCGAGTCTCTTTTGATACCTGTATTATTCATCTCAGCCCTAAGAAAGTATGATGAAGGAAGTGAATAACTTGAATTTAAAACTGAAAGTAGACTCGGATATTGTAAATATGGTATCGTTTTTTATAATATTATATTTTTAGCTTGAAGATTCGAGCTCATCAAAGAAAACATGAATGCATCTTTCCATTTTTTAACGGGAGAGACTGCTACACACTATTTCACTATTGTCACCGAGTTTTAAACAATTATTATCTACCGACCGACACATATTCGTATGAAAGTAGATTAATTTTTGTTCGGTTTGTTTAAGTCTTTAACATTATTATAATTTTAAGTTTGGTAAATAATTAAAATTAGGTAAATTAGGATTAATAATGGGGTACCAATAATGGGCTAAACCAATAATATGCCAATATACATCATATTATACATGGAATGGAGATGTCTTACCTTACTTATTCAAAGAAATGATAAACATAAACTTAAACCATAAAAAAAATTATGGATAGGCTATGATTAATTTAAGGCTTTAATTTAATAACAGTTTGAGTTTGTCCCCAGTCCCAGTTTGTGAAATCACTAACTGAAATGTGACGTGTTAGAGTAAGTGTGACACTGATACAGATGGTAGAGAAATCAAAGTGAAAGTGTCTGACTGTCACTGTCAGTGTGTGTCAGACGTCAACAGGACCTAAAATATTTCAAAATCATTATCATTAGCTAAAAAAGCCAAGTCAAGTAATTTGATAAAAGTCTAAACCCCTAAACTTAGACATAAGCCTCATAATTTCATAAAAAAGGCGCTGAATTTATTATTAAATATGCCTACCAGACCATAGTCTTAGTCTTCCTCTTTACAGGCTTAGTCCTTTAGTGCTACAAATTTAAAAAAAATTATTTACTAATAATTAGACTTATATAAATATATAAATAATAGACCTCTAAACTGGATTATAGTTTTTACAGTATTTGCGGTAAAAGTGCAGTTCAGGTGCGTATATTATTTCTTAGCGCATTTCGTATTTTAACATTTTTTATCATGTAAACTTATGTGTATTCTTTAATAATTTAATACAGGCAGTTATAGTTAACTAATTCTGGATTATAAATCGCATCTTTTCTTTTCATTTTGCTTCTAAAGAGTCTTTAAACATCCCCCAACCAAAGTGACACAGCCCCCATTTGTTTGTATTTTTCTTTTTACGCTATGCCAGATTTTTAGCCACCTATAAGTTAGTATGCTAAACGAAATTTTCAAACTAAGCATGTTCACAAAAAAGAATGAAATACTAGATTCTTCATTACGCACAAGCGCCCCCCACCCCAACTTTCTTTTTTTCCCCTCTCAGAGAGCTCGGAATATAGGGGTTGTCCTTTGAAGTCGAGTCGGGGAAGGGGGGGGAGGGGGAGATTAGAAGTGGATTTTAATAATTTAATAAATTAAGTTTTTATTAAGATTTAAAATTTACATGTATTTTTAATTAAAAATAATAAATAAAAAGAGAAATTAGGCATTAACACTTCAACTTCAAGTAGACTTTGATTAGAATTAGCCGTCAACCTTACACTTACACTTAACTTACACTACAAAAAAATCATGGAAGATTTTGACGGGCTAAGACTAAATCTTATGAGTAGTCTTATCTATCAATTTATGTAATTTTCTAGGCCTAATACATAGTACAAAGATCTAAGTAAAAAAAGTTACAGTACAGCTGTCCTAATTTCACTGGTCGCTATATTAATTATTAAAATAATTTATGCCATGCTAATGACACTTAAGCTATTTATCTGCCGTAAAGTTAAAGCCTAAAATAATTTTGTTTGGTAATAATCAGAATGAGATTTGAGATCCAGGCCTTTTAAATGCATTTATAGTCTCTACAATTAGATCTTTAACGTTAAATAATTAAATTTTTTTATTTTTTTATTAGTGTTGAGTGTCTGTCTAATATTACAATGTCTCACAATTTATGTGAAAAATAATAGCTAATTTTTTTCTTTTTCCATGTAGGTAGACCTCAAAGACAACGTCTCACTGTTGACTATGTACTGGATCACCTTGATGATTCTGAATTTGATTTGTCGGAGTCAGATGACTCGAGGGATGAAATGT